GGTTCCAGGGCCTCTTCACATTTTTGGTGCCTCCCAGACCCTGCGACACTTGCCCAGCTCCTACCACTGCTGGCAGGGAAACTGAGGCATGGACACTGACCAGCAAAAGACATGGAGAGGAAGGGTGCACAGAGACCCAGCGAAGGCAGTGGCAGGCCTGGCTTGGATGATGTCCTGTTTTCTACCACCAGAGTGCCCACAGGCTGCAGGGCACCTCGTCTGCTTCCTCTGTGGCCTTCTGCAGCCAGGGCTGGACTGCCTGGCCCCTCAGGGGCTGCTTACAGAGGCACAGGCGCTGTCTGGCTGAGCCCCAGCTCTTCTCCTTGTTAGTCCAGCTGTGGGCTGAACGTTGGTCCCCAGAGATGTCCACCTAGAGCCTGTGAACATGACCTTATTTGGAAGAAGGGTCCTTGCAGGTGGGATAAGTTATAAATTCCGAGAGGCCATCCTGGATTAGGGTGGGCCCTAACTGCAATGGCTCACATCTTCAAAAGAGAGGAGAAGGCAGAGAAAGCCCTGTGAAGACAGGCAGAATGGGGTGAGGCGTCTCCAAGCCAAGGGTCACTGGGGCCCTTTCCCATGCCTTCATTTCTGACTTCTTGTCTCCAGAATAAAATATAACTCAGAGAGAACACAATTCCATGTAAGAAACGGTTTGTGCTCAGGAGACTTTAGCAGGGGGTCCCTGACCCATGATGGCCTGAGGCTCTCTTATCTGGGGATGGGGCTGGGCAGTCCTCTCAAACTATGCAGGGAGTTCCAGAGCCTGGCATCAGGGGTCATCGACATGGCAGAACCTGTCCTCATAGCAGGGGAAAGCCAGGCTTGGGGAGCTGAGCCAGGTACTCTCCCTTCAGTTTTCACTAAGGTTAGCCTCAGGCCATATGCCCATCCACCCATCCACCCATCCACCCATCCACCCATCCATCCATCCATCCATCCACCCACCCATCCATCCATCCATCCACCCATCCGTCGATCCATTCACCCATCCATCCACCACCCATCCACCCATCCACCCATCCATTTATCCATCCACCCATCCATCCACCCATCCATCCATCCATCCACCCATCCATCCATCCACCCACCCATCCATCCATTCATCTACCCATCCATCTATGCATTCATCCACCCACGCATCCACCCACCTATCCATCCACCCAACCACCCACCCATCCACCCACCTATCCATCCACCCATTCATCCACCCATCCACCCACCTGTCCATCCACCCATCCACCCATCCACCCACCTATCCATCCACCCATCCATCCATTCATCCACCCACCCATCCATCCACCCACTCACCCACCCATCCATCCACCAACTCCCCCACCCATCCACCCACCCATCCATCCACCTACCCATCCATCCATCCATCCATCCACCCATCCATCCACCTACCCATCCATCCATCCATCCATCCACCCATCCATCCACCCATCCATCCACCCATTCACCGATCCATCCACTGATCCATCTGTCCATCCACCCACCCATCCACCCACCCATCCACCCACCCATCCATCCATCCATCCACCACCCATCCACCCATCCACATATCCATCCATCCACCCACCTATCCATCTACCCACCCACCCATGCATCTACCACCCACCCATCCACCCACCCACCCATTCATTCATCCATCTATCCACCCACCTGCTCATCCATCCACTCATATCATACATCTATCCATCTGTTCTCCATCCATCCATTCATCTATCCACATCTATTCATCTGTTTATCCATCTATCTACCCCTTTTACCCAATCACCCACTCGCCCATCCACTCACCCCTCTACCATGAGTGTCTCTTCTGCACTGACTATAATTTCTGAAGCTGGCTGGGCCCCTCAGGCCCCTGGCATGCTGCATCAGGGAAGTGACCTGCCCCAGGTCTCACAGCAGGTCGGTGCCAGAGTCCACACCCCTGACTCGGCAGGGGACATGTGCCCTCAGTTTCCTCCCTGGGTGCCTGCCTCCCATGTCCAGAGGTGGGGGACTGAGAGGGAAGCCACCTGTCCCCATACACTCCCGTCTGTGAGAAGCCCAGGCCTGTGGAGGCAGCGGGGAGGGTCACAGCATTTCATCTGTGCCCCTTGCCCTTCTCCTTCTACAAAGAGAAAGAAAAAATGGCAGCTGCTGGGACACTCTGGGGCAGGAGGTGAGGGGTGGGGGAGAGGACCAGGACCTCTCAGCCAAGAGCGACAGGGGCCTACTAAAATGCAAAAATATTTAGACAATAAATGAAGTATCAGAAAGGCGTGCACATCTTGAAGAAATCAATCATCTTGGACGGTGTGTCTGGACGCTTGGCGCCAAGGCGGAGATAGCGCCTTGCCGGGGAGATAAGGGTTAATCAAGGATTTAATTCTGCAGGAGATAAAGCAGAGGAGGGAAGAGCTAGGGGGGGCTCCTTCCTCCCCAGGAAGGCGGGGCTCCCCACAGAGCCTCAGAGGCTCCTCCGGCCTTCCCTCCAGCTCCCCGCCTGCCCCACACATTATCTCCCCACTTGGGAGGGTTTCTAACCTTGTGCCCGTAGCCCCAGGATGGCCTGAGCCCCAGGCCGGAGCAGGACAAAATGTGGAGGCAGGTGGACTGGAGCATGGGGTGGTGACTGCAGGCTGTGGGGATGACTCCCGGGCCTGCATCAGCCCCACAGCCCTGTCATTAGGGAGCCTTAGAGGGTCTCTGGGGATAGGCAGCTGTGGGTTCCAATTCTCCTTCTGCTGTTTGGTCCTGGGTACTTGGGGAATGAATTGACTTAGCCTCTGGGAGCCTCAGTTTTCTCATCTATAAAATGGAATGGCAGTATCCACGTCATAGAGTGGGGGACAAGGAAGTCAGGATGGGCGTGTGGTGTGTCTGGAACTCACAGAGCCTGCAGTCTGAGCCCCTACGGCCTTTGCTCCTGGTCACTACCGATGAGTTTTCGTGACACGCTGGGATGGGAGCCATGAGCTCCCATTCTATCCACTCATTCCTCCTGGCAACCACTAAATGCACCTGCCAACACCCTCCTATCCCAGCACCCCAGCAGGGTCAGCTGCCCTTGCGTGCGCGCAGAGCCAGCCCTCCACACCGCAGCTTCCTTTCTTCGGGGCAACTGAAGTGTGGCTCCTTCCACGGAGCCCAAGTCCCCCACCACTCAGCTTCCACAGCTCTTCTTCCACCCCTGCAAAGGGCTGGCCGCAGTGCCCACTGAGCCATGCCCTGTGGCAGGCACCACCCTGACCACCTCATGTGACCTCCCAGCTGCCCTGGCAGGCAGTGGTGCCATGGGCTTCCCTCCTTCACAGACAAGCCCATTGTCCTGCCCACGCTCCCCGCTCAGGGTCTGCAGGCTCAGACACCAAGCCTCAGGTGCCCCCGTGGGTCCCAAATGCTGAGGAAGAGGAGGCTCAGAGTGGGCAGGGGCCTGCCTGGGGACACACAGCAAGGAAACAGCATCAAGGTGGGAGACTTGGGGGCCTGGTGAAGGGGGACACCCTCTGTCCTGGGCCAGCTTCCCGACTCCCTGAGCGGCCTGGGACATGCGTCTGCCTGCTCTGCTGCAGAAGGCTGCTGTGGACGGCCCAGGAGGACTCCACTGGGTGGCAGGCTGGAGCCCTGGCAGGCCTTTCTGAGGTCCAGAGGCCCGGCCCCAGACCCCACGCCACCCGTGCCTCGGCCGCATGCCGACGTACAGGTTTCTCTACACCAGCGCCCTTTCTTAGTTGAGACTTTTTTTTTTTTTTTTTTTTTTTTGAGACGGAGTTTCGCTCTTATTACCCAGGCTGGAGTGCAATGGCGCAATCTCGGCTCACCGCAACCTCCGCCTCCTGGGTTCAGGCAATTCTCCTGCCTCAGCCTCCTAAGTAGCTGGGATTACAGGCACACGCCACCATGCCCAGCTAATTTTTTGTATTTTTAGTAGAGACAGGGTTTCACCATGTTGACCAGGATGGTCTCGATCTCTTGACCTCGTGATCCACTCGCCTCGGCCTCCCAAAGTGCTGGGATTACAGGCTTGAGCCACCGCGCCCGGCCGAGACGTATTTTTTTTTTTTTTTTTTTTTTTTTTTTTTTTTTTTTTTTGAGACGGAGTTTCGCTCTTGTTACCCAGGCTGGAGTGCAATGGCGCGATCTCGGCTCATCGCAACCTCCGCCTCCTGGGCTCAGGCAATTCTCCTGCCTCAGCCTCCTGAGTAGCTGGGATTACAGGCACGTGCCACCATGCCCAGCTAATTTTTTTGTATTTTTAGTAGAGACGGGGTTTCACCATGTTGACCAGGATGGTCTCGATCTCTCGACCTTGTGATCCACCCGCCTCGGCCTCCCAAAGTGCTGGGATTACAGGCTTGAGCCACCGCGCCCGGCCGAGACGTATTTTAAAAGAAACCATTATACCCTCTCAGGAGGAAACTGTACTGACTTGTCATAAGTAGGAGGTGGCGTCAGAAGCAGATCCAAGACAAATGACACAGGCACTCGGGTCTAGCAGCTGCCTTGGAAGCCTCTGCTAGGCGGGGGCCGTCACCAAGGACATGACACATGTGTCGAGGCCACGGAGACCACGGCCCGAGGCTGCGCCTGAGTCAGAAGTGTCCACGGGGTTGGACACAGGACCGCCCTTTTGCCCTCTGCTGCAGTGGGAAGTCGCCATCCCAGCACCCCAAGGCCTGGCCATTGCTTTGTTCCTCCCTCCCCCGAATGCCTTTCTCCTCTGCCCCAGTGCTCACTCGTCCATCCGTCAAGGTCCTGCTTAAAGAACCCCTCTTCCAGGAAGTCTTCCCGGAGGTACCAGAGGCCCCATATCACCTCCCACAGGAAGGCCTCCCTGGGCTCCCAGGCAGTGAATCCCTCCCTGCGCTTCAGGTTCCAATGTCTCAGGCCCACACCTCCCCACAGGCTCCACATCAACTGGCCAGAGCTCCTGGGCTGGCGTCTAAGCTGGGCCTGGCTGGGGGTGCGAATGTGGCGGGTGGGCAGGGGTGGGGGTGGAGGCTCCTTACCGGCTCTGCCTGCCCGGGGGACGAGGCTCTGGTCTGGACGCTCCCGTGGAATGGGCCCCAGGACAGGCCCGTGGCGAGGCTGAGTCGGGCCCGCACATGCCTCTGCCCATGCTGCACCACCGGTTCCAGCTCGTCTGCAGAGAGACATGGCAGGCATGAGGCGTGCCCGGTCTGGGGCCTGTCCAGCCCACCTCCCACCAAGGTCGGCCCAAGGGTGGAGGGTCCTTAGGGCCTGGCGCTGAGTGGCAGGGGCCGGCAGGTGCTGGGTCCTGGGGGCCTGTGCAGCCCCGGAGCAGGAAGGATGTCGCTGCTGGGTGTCTGTGAGCTGTGAGCCCCGCCCTGGTCGTTCTCCCGGGGCAAGGGCTGCAGGTGGACAGCCCCACAGGGCCCGGCTGCCTGACGCAAGGTTGGTGTGAGTTTGTGTCGCGGCAGACAGGTGGCCCCCAACAGATACATCGGCCTGCAATCTATGAACGCGCCCTTATTCTGTAAAAGGGTCTTTGCAAATGTAATTAGATTAAGGCTCTTGAGATGAGATCAGTGGGATTATCAGGTGGTCCCTAAATCCAGTGACAAGTATCTTCTAAGAGACACAGAAAAGCAGAGACAGAGAGGGCCGTGAGAAGATGGAGGTGAGACAGGGTGCAGCTGGGAGGGTCGCCTGGAGCCCCCAGAAGCCGACAGTGGCAGGAGGGAACCTCTGGAAGGCGCCTGGCGCTGCCGACACTTGGCCGTGGGACCTGGAGCCCCGAGGCTGGCGGAGGACACACACTCGCTGCGTGAAGCCCCAGGTCACGCTGCTGAGGACATGCACACGCCTGGCCCCTACCTGCCTCCTGGAGCCTAAGCCTGCTCAGTGGACAACAGGGAGTGGTTCCTCCCAGGCCACCCACCACCTGCCCGCGAAGGCCGGGCCACCTCTACTCTGCTGTGGCCAGGGCTGCCAGGGCTCACGGAGGCCTCACACGGCCTGGCCTGGTCCCCTGGCCGCAGTGCTGTGGCGGCCCCACTTCCTGGAGCCCCGATTGGGCAGGCTGTGGCCTTAATGGGCCTGATGATCAGATAGCTGCTTGCCTAATGGCAGAGATAACATGTAAATACGCCGGGAGGCCCTGCTAAAACGTTTTAACTGGGTCTTTGTCTTCCCCAGGGCAGATAAGATGGCAGCGAACCAGGACTGAGAGGCCAAGGAGGCCCGAGCCCCTTTATCAGCCCCCAGGAGGGGAAGAGCAGGCTGGGGGTGGCAGGAGCAGCTCTGCCGTCTCAGCCTCACAACTGCCAGCCCACCCAGAATGCCTGGGTCCAGGCTCAGGGCTCTGACCACCGGGCTGCCCTCCTGCCCTCCCACTGCAGGCTTGGCACCATAGGGTGACCGCTGTGAGCCGTGCCAGCATCACACAGGTCAGCCAGTCCCCCTATGGGGGACTGAGAACAGTCATCCCCCTGCACAGATGAGGACATCGAGGCTCCTGGAGGTGACGTGGCTAGCAGTGGGGCACGTGGGGTCCAAACCCAGAGGCCTGGCTCCAAAGGCACCCCCACATGTGATGGTGGTGGGGGCCCAGCCCCTCCTGTCCTGGCCTCCCCTGCATCTCTGACCCCCACCCTGCTGGCCCTTGGGGGTGTGCAAGGGAGAGAAGAGACTCCCTGAAGGGGAGCTCCCGTGTGTACCCATCTGTCCCTGTCTCTGTCTGGCCTCTGGCGGGTCCTGAGTGCCACCATCAAGTGAGCCTGTGTGTCACCCCACAGTCAGGCGTGGGTCACAGGGAAGTGTCTGGAATCCCATTGGAACCGCCAGAAACTCTGGGAGCTGCGTGGGGAAGCCCTGCACGGGAACCTCTGTTCTCCTGCTGAGCCCTGGCGGGCAGGGAGTCTGGGGGCAAAGGGACCTGAGAGGCTCCTGAGGGCACATCTAGACCCACAAGTGGCTGTGACTTCCTTTCAGAGAGGGAAGGGAGTCACATGCCTTCCCCTCAGGTTCCAGAACATTTGGGAGCAGAGCCCCTAGGCCTGCTGGGCAGGGAGCCCCGCTGGGAGCCCCTGCTGTGCACCCAGGGCTGGTGCCTACCTTTGGAGGGGTAGGAGGAGCGTGGCCTGCAGCGTCCACACCTGCCCTGTGACACACTCGGGGATGCCGAGGTCCCTGTCCTGGCCGCTCTGGGCTCTCGCTTGCCTCCTGCCCTCATGGGGAAGGGGGAGGGCAGAGCTGGTGCCCACCCTGCCCGGCCCATGCCATACCCACAGGCAAACGGTCCTGCTCCCTAATCAGAGTTCCAGGGCCAGCTGGCCCAGTCTCCCAGATAAGAGCGTGGCTGGCATTTCCCGTGGCGGCTGCCCCTTCTGAGTATCATGCACCGCCAGAGAGGGCTGGCTCTGATAAAGGTGGCCATTCCCCTTGCCCAGGGGCAGAACCCACCACTCAGGGATGGCCGGGGTCTAGGCGAGGGGCCTCCAGGGATCAGAGGGGTGTGGGGCTGGGGACCAGGGCAGTGGTAACCATGACAACCCATCTCCCTGGACCAGGGTTCAGGCTGTTGTCTCCAAGAGGCTGTGCACAAGGAAGGTACCTCTCGGGGGTGGATACGGAGCCAAGAAGGTACTTGGATAGGTGAGGGTAGCATGGCTGACCTCAGCCCCGGCTCGGCCCCGTGCCCTTGTGCAGCACACGACCTGTGCAAGTGAACACAGAGGCGTGTGGTCTCAACCCACCCCCAACACCACCTGTTTCTAGCCCCCTGTTCCTGCAGACACCCTCCCCCAGCCAGAAGCGTCACTGCACTGGAGAGCGGGGCGGGTGAGGCCTACTCCTGGCAGGTGGGGTGCCTCCTGAGGACTTGACTCAAGCCTGGGAACGGGGGAAGGTGTCCGTGAGAGCGGGTGAGGGGCCGAGGGGCCCAGGGGCCTGGGGTCGGGGGATGCTGAGGTGGGAGGGGGTTACTGCTGGCCCCATGGCTGACTCCTCCCGCTCTGGCCTCAGTTTCCCCATCTCTAGACGGGTCTCCTGAGGAGGGGGTGGACCCCAGGCTGCATGCGTAAGCCCCGCCGGGGGTACAGGGCCGACACTACAGGCACAGCACTGGGACAAGGACTGATTTATTCAGGCAAACAAGCCTGCACATGCCGTTTCTAGAACAAACACGCCGTGCTGGGATTTCATTTCACCCCCAAGCCTCTGCTAGGAACCAAATGAGCCGTTCCAGCCATTGCCTATTTATAGGATTGAAAACCCTCTGACGGCACCCGGTGGGGAGGGAAGCAGTGGGGGCTGAGGACCAAGCAGAGCTCAGCGCTGCGCCTGGGGCCAGGCTCAGGGCCCGCTCCACAGAGCGGTGAGCCTGGCTGAGGGGAGCCCAGGTGGGTCTGACCAGAGTTCAGGGCCTTTTGGGGGTGCCTGGGGAGGGAGAGCTGGGGTCTGCAATCCACAGACCTGGCGCCAAGTCCTGCCTCTGCCCAGCTCGCCAGCAGTTGTGTGTGCTCTGAGCCTCAGTTTACCCATGTGGAGAAGGGGGTGCCAGCATTATATCCCCTTGATGGGCTCATGCTGTGAGGTTAGGGGTGCGTCTGCTGCACGTGCTGCTGTCTCTCCCAGCTGCCCAGATGGGCTAAGAAGCTGCACCAGGTGGGCAGCCCAAGGCTGCCCCTGGACTTGGCCCCTACCCCTGGGCTCTGGCTCTGCCCGAGGCCTTAGAGGCGTGGCCTCCTTCAGCAACTCGGGTGACAGTGCCCAGCACAGGTGCCTGTGGCCCGCTCCTGACGTGCGTGTGGGTGCCATCCTGTGGGGAGAATCTTCTATCCTGCAGGCTCAGAGACTCCAGCAACCAGTTCTGGATTACACGGCAGGGAGGGCCGTTGCTCCCGAGACCAGACTGCTTTCGGATAGAGGAGCCAGGGCTCCACCCAGGTCATCTGCCTTCCGAAGCTACTCTGCTTAGCCGCCCCGGCCTCCCCAGCCCTCAGTTTCCCCACCTGACCCACGGCCCCGGCAGTCTGGCTCATGTGACTTGACGAGACAGGTGAAGGCGTCACCCAGCGAGTGTGCAGGTGACCGGGAACCTGGCCCCTCCTGCACACAGCTGGGTTTCCGGCCTGCCAGGGCCAGCCTCTGTTTGTGCCGTCAGCCTCTGCAGCGCCAGGTCCAGCCACCCCAGATGGTAGCCTCTGTAGTCAGTGCCCACCGTGGGGTCACCCCAGCACCCACTTATCTAATTGGAGCCATCACTCCGCCCGGCCCCGCCCTGTGACTCCCACAGGCCAGCTAGGCTAGGCTTTGTTGGGAGCGGCCCTGTCTCAGGGATCATGCTGTTTGCCTTTGATAAAAGTCACAAAAAAGGAAGAAAAAGGAGTGAGGGGAGGGAAGGAAAAGCCAGACTGGTGGGTTCTGGAAGTCTCTGTGGGTTAGCAGGCTGGCGGTGAGGCTGGCGCACGACCGTGCGGGCCCTGAGCACATGGGCTTCCAACATGTCCTACACAGACACAGACACCGAGGCCAGAGGGGCGAGCGAATCCCCAGGGTCACATGGCAGGCAGACCAGGGTGGCCGAGGTCAGCTGCATGGGCAGGGCGGAGCAAGCCAGGCCCTCTGACCTCCTGAGCACAGTTTGGGCCTGGCCCTCGTGCTCCACCATGATGCCACGTGCAGATTCCCTGGCTGATCACCTCAGTTTGGTTCCCACAAAGCCCTCGGGGGCCCCCCAGGGCCTGGAGCCATTTCACGGGGTGTGAGGTCACCTGCCCAAGGTCACCAACTTCAAAGTCAGACCCTCCTGGCTGGCAAAGCCCGTGATCTGGGTGGCAGCTGAGGCCCCAGGACAGAGAGGTGACAGAAGTTGGGGGGCCAGGTCCGAGGTTACACAGCCGGTAAAGTGGCATGGGAGAGTCACGCCCAGGTCCTTCTGATCGCAAACCCAGGACTGCAGCCCAGACTGGACACCCCGCTTGCAGTGAACGCCACCCATAAGGCAGTAGGCCCTCCATGAAGCCCCTCCCCATTCATGGATGGGAGCTGCCAGGCGGAGTGGGCAGAAGGCCACATGGAAAGGCCAGCAGCACCCCAGCCCTCACTCACAGCGGTGGCCTTGGCTGTGGTACTCTGGACAGCCAGGACGGAAGAAAAAGTCTCACGCTAGCTAGGGAG